TTAAGCTTTACGATTGAACAATCACCTCGAAGCGGATGCCATAGTTTGCGCTTGTAGTAGTAGTAGTCCCAGGAATCAGGGTATATATTGCGCCAAGCAATGCTACTGGTTCGGATAGGTAGATTACTTTTCGAGCATTCCGACACGTTAAATAATGTAATATTAATGAAACAAGGTATCTGAAAGATTTTTAATCCGCGCCTTTGTGAGCGTAATATGATTAGTTTTTCAACATCTAAAGAAAGTTCCTTATATCATACACCGAACATGGCGGAAAGCAATCATCAAAGGGATACCACCCCAGTAATTCATGTCCTGCTGAACACTCGACAAAGATATTTTCAATTTTCTATTCTTGTGGTCTTCGGTCTCCTAGCCATACTGAGTTTCAGGTGCGATTTAGCAAAAACGTTTGGCTGCTGTTACAGACAACAGGAGGCTGCGAATATCTTTTACCTCAAACAGGAATATAACACTGGCCACAAACCTCCCTCTGGCTCATAATCAATAGAGCTTCCTGATTCCCGTTATGACTCGTACGTAAGAAACGTCCTGGAAACAACACACCTGCCACACCACCCTATAGTATCGTCAGAATCAGTCATTAACTTTTTCCTTTTCGCCCAATGCTACCGAAAGAAAATCACTGTTAATTTTCCTTCAGCGGCTCAGTAATCTGTTCAAATTTTACGACCAAACTAAAATCGTATTGATATCAATTTAAATTGATAACGCCGCTTTCTATCATTGCAGAAGCTGCAACAATACTATTGAGCGGTGACCTGTGGTCATTTTGGTTACTAGATGCAAGTAGACGATGCTACTGCGCCAGGTAAATTCGGCGAATTCACATGAGCTTCAAATACTGTTCGGTACATTTCCCAGACAATAGAAAACAATAGTGAATAGCAGAAGATAGTATTTTACTGCACACTATTAAATCATTTCGAATAAACTGTGACCGCTGTTGGAACTTCTAGTTCATAAAAGCGGCACCGAAAACTAGCATTTTCCTGCAAAAAGCATAATGTCACTGTGGTTCGCGCAGTAAACGTAGTATGCCATTGTACAGCGCTATAAACCTATGTTCCTCTCTCAAAATAAGGACAGGAAAGACTACACTGGAAAACGGAGAAAACCATATATTAATTATGCTAAGTATATCACACAAGAACAGAAAAAAGGGTGAGAGTGTTTGCATCGTGGTCTCCTTCACCAAAACAAAGCAAAGCTTTGTACTGCATAAAAAACTCATTACCATAGGATTTTCATGGAATAATTACCGGAATAATTCTATCTAAACTCCAAAAACGCAGCTTCAGAATCCACAATGTCGAGATCGGGTGAGTAAGATAATAAGGGATGGCTAACTACAGTGGCTAGAGTGAATCCTGTTTTCCATAAATATAAATAGCTGTGATGGATATCGGAACAGGCTGGTGATGAGATAGAGGTAATCATAGTGTGACTGACATTGATATACTTTTAACAACTCGTTTAACGACAAGACATCGCAAGGGCAAACACAAACAGAAAACGTTTGGGTCATTATTCACACCAATCCCTAAGGAAAACATGGAGAATCATATTTCTTATGCCGTCGACTTCTAAATGGCCGATGAACTTTAGACGAATATTATAGCTTAAACTAATCAATATGAACTGCACTGCGTCTTGGCAACCCTTCTTTTACTTAGATGGTTCTCTACTTGGAGGACGAAGAATAGTTTCAAGTGAAAACACGGATGGTACTGAACTATTTCAATTATAAAAAATTTGATTAAAACTTACATTATCTCACGAAACATTTTTTGTAGAAGTATTTACATCTAGACTGCCACCATAAAAACTACACGGGTGTACATTTTTCCATACAACAGGTTCACTACAATTTCCATTGACACAAACTCATAGAATATACGCAAACTCATGCCAGCACACAACGTACTTACATTATCTTTAGCAATGCATCTTAAACAAAGAACGAAACTAACTGTTTTGTTTATATAATCAGTGTGACACTCTCATTACACAGGTGAACTGTGTAACAAATTCATCTGTGAACTTCATGTTGCCATAAAACTCGGATCTACACCTCAACGTAAGGACTTGACAGATTATATTTTGATAAACGGATAAAACCGTTACCTCGGATAAAACCGAGATAATTATCATCAAGGTATTTATTTGTGGAATCTGGATGAACTTGAGTACAAGTCAAATATTACATGACTGTACATTTTTCTGCGCAGTAGGTGCACTCAAATCATAAATGCGACAAACACATACAACACATTAGACTCATGCCATCACACAGTGTACTTATATCAAGCGATGCATCTTAATTAAGCGAACTGAACATTTTCTCTATATATCCCGTCTGAGACTCATTACACAGCTGGACGGTGTAATAAATTCATCTGCGAACTTTGACAAGTTCATCCACTTATTAAAGAATAATAATTACTATTACCTGAAGAGAGTGCATGGCCAAAAGTTTGCACTGCAATCTTTCCAACCACGAATTTTTCTCTTCCCTCAAAGAAAAGCACAGCTGAACGCAAGCAACACATTAGGAATCACAACAAATCCCGTAGCTTACGGGGACAATACGACCAGCTGCAAAGCATCCCCATCTTCATGTTCAAATCCGATCGAAAACGCACCATAATTCGCCACCACGCCAATTACATAGCTGCACTGCAAGATTTCAAACACTTTGTAAGGCTGATGCGTTCCAATTTCCTACTCACGAAATGACAGCGAAATCAATAACAATTAAGAAAGAGAAGTTAAATTATGCCAAACAACAAAATAGAGCTTATTTTTCACAACAGATATCAAAAGTTTTACAACTCCTATCTTGGCAGATCAACAAACTATGCGTACCTCTGAGTCTCTGTAAACTTCCAACAACGGTACATGATCGCTCTGAACAAAGAACACCATAAATAGATCTTGAACGTTCCTTAACTTCTAAACCAGTCATGTTTGTAAAAAACATAAATAATAGTGGTAAATAAAGCTATACGTAATAAAATGCCAACCGTGTATCAATGAATTCCTTTTTAATTTCGTGCATCTCATCTTTTTTAATTATTACCCCCAATAACAGTAAGTGCATTAATTTAAACCCATTTTCTACTTGATAATGACAAAACAACAAAAGGATATTTTACAGTAATATTAATGAGTTCAGGAAAGAAAATAAATACCGCAATAAACAATCTAAAAACACAACAGCATTCGCACAGAGGAAATGAACAAGAAGGAAACTGAAATATTTCCCAAACATAACATGTAATTATTCGCTTAAAAGCAGGGCGCACTCGAACGATACAATTCATAATAACTTACTCTCTACGGAAATTCCATCATTCAGATTTAAATTTATTGTTTAGTGAATTTTGCATCTGCTTTGGATGCGGCCAAATTCTCCGCTGGCACTTTTGCACATCCGTCGATACCCTTTCCAAATTACGCCTTGCCGCAGTTGTAGCCGTGAACGTATAGCGGACTCTTTACTAAAGTTGCGTTACAATATCCTCAAGAGTCAGTTATGCATTACAACAGAAGCTCTGGCCGACTCTTTAACTGAAAGTATTCGTTAAAAGTTGGAACCGTTTTTCGTTTGTCGTTAAACCAAACAAAAGAAACTGCGATATAATCATCACCACAAGCTATTAAATTATGGCACACAGAAAAATGGAAAGCTGAATGCTCTCGTCATTTCTATCACCGCATTTGAGATATCAAAAAGAGCTATTTTAGAGATTCAGTTTACAGTTAGTTATGATAAGGTGCCAAAAACAAGTCTTCTTAATGTGATAAGGTTAAGGCTGCTGATGCTGAACCAGTGTTCTGAAAGAATTAGAAAAATACGGAAAATGGAGGCTCAATTAATAAATGGATGGACGAACACTTCGTTCGTACCTTACTGGTATCTCTGATAAGGAAACTGTAGTTCTAATTTGTTCACATCAATATCTTGAGAAGGTTGCATAGGCAAACGGTTTTGGTTAGTTACGACCGCATTATGCCGGTTTTTCAGCATTTCACCATAGCGCACCCAGCTAAAACATTGCGAAACTGTTGTCAAATAGTATCTGATGCCATTTTGTTCGTCCATGTTAACTGCTGACTGCCTGATCAGGGCTGTCTTTACTCTGGATAGCACATGAGAATCTTACGGTATTTCAATATTTAGATCGGAAATATCAGCAAGTACTTGTAAATTTCTGATTTTCATTTTTGCGTTTAAAAACAATTTGTCAGCTCAGAACATGTCATCTTATAATCTATCGTTTCTAAATAACGTTAATATTTGCAGGTAGATTAAGCTTGTAATTGGATGGTTCATGGGAATTCGTCCAGCTGATTTTTGAAAACACTTACTTGTTAACTTCAAACTAAAAATGTATAAATTAAGGAGCGTGCAGCCGGAATAGGCGGTTCCTCTTGCTTAAATATCAACGCGGTTTCAAGGGCATGATTAATAAATCAGCATGAAAAAGGAATGTAAGATATAATCGTAATTAGAAATTGCCGCCAGAATCTGACAATACCTCCTGAACGTTGGCCGGTCGTACATCTTATAATCACGTTTTATTTTGTAAATTGTAAAACATAGACCAATAGTATAAGGAGCGTATGCGTGTAGACTATATGTGATGATTAAACATCTGTTCAAGCTTAATGCCATTCCCATCTTGCACACCTTTAAGAGGTTCGCGATCTTTCAAGAAGAACACAACACTAAAAGGTTTTAAGCGAAATATGTGACAGGCATAGCTAAATTAGCACACATTCTCAAATTCTAATATTCCTTTATCGTTGCGTAGCATAATGAACTCGTTGCTGCTTTTACATCGCGATAAACACATGGTTGCACATCGTGATAATTAGCAATTCACAGAAGTGACCAAGCACAGCCTCGTGTATGCATGTCTTAAAGACCTGCCACTCTGTTTCCACGTCAGTGGTCATCGCGTGGAACTGTTCAAACCGGCGTGCGACGTTGTTTGCAAATTTCGCTCTCGTGTCCTCCGAAAATGTTTCCCATTTGATTCTCCTTTTGCTTCTGCCGCCAGATCTTCGTTTGGTACTCCATTTCTTACAGCGCAGCATGACAACAACAAGGTGATGATCAGTTGATAGCTCTGCGCCTATATTAAAGCGAACATCTATTACTGAGCGTTTTAAGTCAGACGATACGATTATCAAAGGGCTCATCGACTTCTGTGCACAAGCTTCCCGGTACCAGGTGTACTGTACTGATAATGGACAATCCGTTCTTTGCACAAAACCGCAACGACTTCATGCCTTTATTGTTGAGGTCGTTAGGGCCGTTTTTCCTATCACGCCGTTTCGCTTTTCAGCGTCTACTCCTACGTGCGCGTTAAAATCGATCATCAGTATGAGGAACTCTGTATTAGGCACTTCGGACAGAGCACACTGCACTTCCTGAAGGAAGGTCTCATATTCTCCTTCCAAACTGGGCGCATAGACCTGTACTAAAGTCATCGATTTAGCCCGTTGTAGCTTCAGTCGGAAGATTACCACCGTTCCGTTGACAGGCTTCCAGTCAATAATTCTTTCCGCAAGGATGGGTTCTACTAGACCACCGACACGAGCCTGAACGCGAGCCGTGATATCGACGCCTCAGTAGAATAGTTTCCACAGGGAGAGCTTCAGGAGTTTACAGCCTTGGGGCTTCGTTGACTTCGTTGATGAGAGTCCAACCATGTCGAGTTAGTTCTTTATGGCCTCATTCACTGACTCTTCCTCTTTCTACATGAGTGCGGCTATCTTCCAATTTTCGACTATTAGCTTCTACTGGTGGTGTCATTCTCGTGGGACCTTTTGTGACGTGCTTCGATGTTGTCGCGCTGTCCGCCTCTGCCGTTCAGAACGGGTGTTGATTCCGTTGATGGTTGGTACCTTCAACGTCGTTTCTTCGATTTTTGTCAGCATTTGTTGTTCTCTACTCTCTGGTAATCAGATGGCGATGACATCAATACGGTGAAAAGCAAGTGAGCGTGTTTTACAGAGACTTCGCCAAGGTTTCTATATCCCTTCATTTTTTAACCGGGCTTCAGACCCGCAACGGCAGAGTTTTAAGTTTAAAAAATGGCTTTCAACTTTAGATTCCTTCGACTGCGAAATTCAACAAACGCAGTTTGGTCGATGCTATCACCTGAGTAACATATGGCAACTCATTGAATTAGGGAAAATTCTTGGAGGATGTTTTACTTGTGCTGCAAAAAGAGCGAGTCGAACATAGATGTTATTTGACTCAGTTCCCTTTGAGCAGCAAAATGCCTCATAATTGATTATTCTTC